GAACTGCATATTAGGATCGATGGAGTTTAGGTGATCATGACACTCACTGACATAGTCTTTGAGTAAACATGTATGGCTATCGTCTACGAAACGAACCCACCAACGTGGTGGATGTGGGGCTGTCGTAATGGCTATTTCTTCAATGTGTTCCATGACTATATTCGCTAATGTTGCACTTATTGGGGAACCCATTGCACAGCCAGAAATTTGTTGATAATGACAACCGTCGTGTTTGAAATAACTGTTTCGTAATACGAACTCTAATAATTTTATAATATTGTTTATAGATATGTCTGTACGAGTTGTGAGATTATTGTCTTGCTCTAGTCTTTGCTTGACCACTTGCAGGGCTAATTCAATTGGAATAGATGTAAAAAGCGAAACCACATCGAAGGATACCATGATCTCGCTACTCGATATAGATTGATGGCGTATTTGTTTTGCGAACTCGTTGCTATTCTAAGACCCCGTTTACACGGTACCGGCGAATTTGGGACCGGTCTGAAATTCGTCCTTTCTCGCCTGTTTACACGCGAATTCGTCCTGTTAGGGGGTCTCAAATTCGTCCGGTTCCGTGGTTTTCGTGTGTTTACACGGCCGAAACGGACAAATTTTAGTCCGGTCCCAAATTCGTCCGGTACCGTGTAAACGGGGTCTTAATTGAGAAATTTTCGTTCAAAAGGGGGGAGAGTATACGAACTAGATGTTTGGACAGTCGGTAAGTGTGAAAGCCAATACAGCTGGTAATGGGACGTAAAGGGATTTCAGGTTTGTGGATCTTTGGCAAACCGTAGAATGTGGCAACATTGGCATCTGTGCTATGTAAAAAATAGTACAGTTGTGTCTTGAATTTGCTTTGTTTCTTGATTATATGTTGCTGGTTGCGATCTAATCTCTCTTAAAAGACTATTCATATCTTTTTCAACTTTGGATGTGGGGTTCCTACGTTTGTCTGTTATTTTTAAATATGTTGTGGGATCATCCAAAAGTTAATTTTATATCTCAAATCACCTAGTCCCAGTCTTTTCATGTGAAAAAGCGCTGAATATTAAAAAATTATAAATAAAAATAGAAGGCCTAGGTCTAGGCTGCAAGCTGGCGATTCTTTTGGTAATATTTGTCTTTATTATACTTTGAAACGAAGCAAAGATACAAGCATTTGAATCAGGCAGAACATTCAAAATGCAACAAGAAAATTGGTAATGCGTCATTTGCATAAATTTCGCCGCATCGATCATTTCAAGGTAAGAAATTCGCTTGAAATTGAGCGAGAAACAATAAAATTATACAAATATTTCGGAATATATAGTATCAATCAAGCGGAATTTTTTGGTGGTATTTTCGTATTTCTACTGCAAATACTTGCGGAGTTCTTTCATATTTAATCTTCCCGTCATAAACGTCGGATATCAATATTGGCAGATGGAATTTTAAGGTCCAAAAAAAATTTTCCGGACAAACTCTTCTAAAATTGTATTCCCAATACCCTTTCTTGGACCAATATCTGCAAAATTTTGGTTCAGAAAATTTTTTTCTCAACCCAATATTTATATGAAAAAACGTTTCAAATTTTTTTTTATTTTCCAAATTTGCCCCCCCCCCCTTACTCTGCGGGACCGGGTCAAATTGTTCCCTTTGCCCCCTCCCCCCCCCTGATAGGCGCTGATTGTACAGGCTCTGGACATGGAGCGGCAAGTTGCAAGAATATAAATTGTAGGAAATGTAACGGCAAGTACCATTTTTGAAAGAAGAGCCTCCTTCCCATTATGATTGCTGCGACCAAGGAACCATACACCAAACCATTGTTGTTGTGGCGGGTGGGGAAAAGTTCAGAACAATGCTTGACACAGGTGCTGGCAGTTCACTTGTCTCATCAACAGTTATTAAACACTTAGGAATTAGACCAACCAAGTTGGAGAAAAAAAGCATTGAACAATGACTGACACTGTCAATCAAAAGATGCCTTGCTACAATGTTATACTGAAGTCCACATATCGTAGTCAGAGTTTAGATTGCAAAGTGAATAAGTTAGACCGGACAGTTTTTACAACCCTTACCAACCCGGGTATCCATGGGTTAAAGGAAGCACACCCCCATCTGAAAGGAAACCAATTAGACAATAAAGACGACCGACCTAGTCACCCAATACATTTGATCCTGGAAGCGGGGGACATTGCGAGAATCAAAGACTAGTGAGTGTAGAATTGGTAGTATGACCGAGCCGGTAGTTGAAAAGTCTACATTTGGATGGACACTCATGGGACAGGGGAGGAGGGCTCGAGTCATCTCTACTTTACTCTAGTCATCTCTACTTTATGAGGACTACTAGAAAATACATGCATGCAGAAACCCTCGCCTTGCTGACAAAACCCACAGCGCCCTGCAAAACCGTTGTATTTTCCGAACATGAAGTATCTAAAGTAGTTGTCATGGTAACACGATAATTTTTAAAGAATATTCCTACAAATGAAAATCGCCTAAAAATATCACTTTTAATTACAAAATTATCAATTTCCCAACATATTTATATTAGGTATGTAATTATACGTAATACAAGCTTCAATTTAAGGTAAAATTCAACCACAAACAATTCGCAAAACGTTTCAAAGTGTTCTTTATAAAACTAAACTGCCTTTAACTATTAAATGGCTTTATCGATAAACTTTGAGTTTGCAATAAAATGATTTCAAATTCTCGCTTGCAAATAAATTTGCTTTATTTTTTATTTAAAAAATTCAATATAATAAAAAAGGGAATCAATATTAAAGATACACTGAAATTATATGCTGTCTTGTTTAGTTGTTTCATACACGCAAAGGCCGTCGGGTTTTAAAGCCATTATAAAATCAATATTTAAACCAAACTTACCTTTGTTAACGTCGGCTCCCTTCTTTTAGCTGATTCTTTCGCCCTTTCTTTCTTGAAATTTACAAAATCTTGCAGAAATACGAGCAAAAATGAAGAATATTTGCAAGAAATTTATCAATCATCAACTCATCAAATCAAGAAATGTCAAATGTTTGCTATTTCGCTGTCGTCATGCAGCCGTTATAATTCAAACTTTAAATTGGACCAATCAGTGTCCGTTATTCATGATAGTCCGCCATATTTTTGAGATCAGCGAGGATGACCACCCATCGTTGGTGACCGACGCCCGCGCTCATTGATGAACTTTAGACTTCGCTAATGCTTTCGTTTCCCCGGGTGTAAATAGCCGGGGGGATTAGTACCCTCGCACGGCGCTTCGCGCCGCCGGCTCGGGGATAAACAACTCTTCAGCCTGGATGTAATTGGGTTACAGGATGGCCCCGTAGGTAATGCGGATGGTGTCCCCACCGAATTTAGAGAGCAACTCACAATTTCGAAATGATAGGTACTCCTCACGACTTCCCTGGAAAGCTCGGCATCCACCTCTACCAACCAATAAGCTAACAAGTAAGGCAAAGTAAGAAGGACTGATCAAAAACGTGAGAGGAATCCCGAAGTTATGAGGCAGTCCCATGACATAATAGAAGAGCAGATGAAGCAAGAAATTGCGGAGCAAGCTCCTGAGTAACCTACAGGGGAGAAGAAAAAAGTTTTATCTGCAACATAAAACAGTTATTAAAAGTTCGGATGTTTTTGATGAGTCGGCAAAAGTGATTTATAATGTGCCATCGTTGAATTAAGGCCTCCATAAGGGACCACCACTGCAGTCATTACTCCACAATGTACTTCTTAGAAATCGGTTGAAACCATTCGGACTGACAGCAGTCTTTAAGCAGATCTAGGTGGACCCAGAAGACCGAAACGTATTGCGCTTCTTCTAGATTAAGCATTTAGAGACAAAAGAAATTGTTACAAGATTATAAAGATTACCCGCACACAGTGGAAGAGCTTAAGAATAACACATACGTGGACGATGTGATTTTTGCAGGTGAAATTATCAAGCAAGTGCAAAAGTTCAAGGAAGAGTTCGTTGAACTATTTAACCGAAGAGGATTCCGATTACAAAAGTGGCACTCAAGTAACCCCCGGTTTGAGGAGCAGAAACCGTGGATCAAGAGTTGCGTACGAAACAAGCCGAAACAAAGATTTTCGGCATGAAGTGGGACAAAGCAAAAGACACTTTAGCATTTGATTTTTGTGGGTGCAAGCAAACTGGAGAGGGTTCAAAGCGTGGAATGTTGCAGTAAATAGCTAGAGTCTACAACCCTTTAGGAGTAACCTTGCTGTTGATGCTGGATGCGAAGGAGATTTATTGGAAAACGTGCAAAGAGAAACACTCGTAGGACATTCTTCTGCGAAAGGAAATAGCAGAATTATGGAAGAAATGAGGGGATGGTCTTCCTGAAGTGGTACGCGTTCCAAAAAGCATAACCCCTCATAAGGAGGAAATAACCGGGATACACTTGCATATCTTCAGAGATGCAAGGGTGAAGGGGTGCAGTGCAGCGGCTTATCCAGTAGTTTATCGGAGGGAGAAGACAACCCAAGGATTGGTTACATCCGAATCAAGAATAGCGAAGCCAAATGTCAGTATTCCAAAACCGGAACAACGAAAACAATTTAACAATTGCATTTAAGCGTGGTTTGGAAGCATGTGCAAAGGGAGTACTACGATGCAAAGGACGGATAATCGAGGAGCATCCTATGTACCTTTCAAGAAATCATCGCTTCTTGAATCTTGTGGTTTCTGATGCCCACAAACGTACTCTCCACGGAGAAATAGTGTTAACGATTGCCATAGTTCGAGAGAAATGGCGGATCGAGAAGCTAAGATCCTTGGTCAAGTCGGTGCTACAAGTGCAATACATGTGTAAGGTATAGAGCAAGACCTCTACCATCGGAAAAAATTGCTAACGAATTCCGCACAACGGGCAGTCGGGCATTTGAAGCAGTAGAGCTAGACTTCCCCGGCTGGATTTCATACAAGATCAAGAAGGGAGTTTGAAGGAAATGCTACGTTGCATTGTACACCTGTGCAGCATCTCCAGCTGTGCACCTTGACATCCTTCCAGATATGTCGGCGGAGAGTTGAAACAAAGTCTTGCGGAATTTGTAGCACGAAGAGGTCAATCAACGAAGATTGTTTGTAACAACGCGAAAACGTTTGTTGCCATGGCAAAGTGGTTACGTAAACTCAAACATAGCCATGTTGTGAACGATTACCGCTTGGCGTAAAATCCAGTGGCAGTTTAATCTCGCAAGGAGTATATAGTGGGGCGGGTTTTTCGAGCGAATGCTGGGGCTCATGAATAACGCGCTCAGGAAAGCTATTGGCAATGCAATTCTTACTATCATGCAACAGAAAGAAGTATTATTAGAAGTTGAAATAACCTTGAATAATCGACCGTTAGGACATTTGGACAATGATATCGAACTTCAACCTTGGATTCCAGAAAAACTTAGATGCGAACTCGTACGAGAGGTATTTGTATCTTTATATTGTGCTTCATAAAATATATCATTACAAACCAGCGCATAAAACAATTTTTTGAGTATAAGAACTAAAATGTAAAGGAGGAAGCTATTATTGATATCGTGCACTCGTGAGATTTTAAAAGACCTTAAAGATAGGGTGATTCCGGTGTGCGCATGCGCACATAGGAGTTTCCAGCCGTGATATAAACACTTTAATTATGTTTTCATTTCATTAAATGTTCTTGCAAAACCTGATTGTTGTATCTTGATCATTTATTATACTGTAGATGCATGGCAATATAAATAATTGTCGAATAAAGTTTAATATTTTGAATATCGAAATGTGAACAAAGGCTTTGTCTACATATACGGATTGTACCCTACCTTTAAATAGCAATCGTTCTGGCGGACTTAAGCTATTTTGATGCTCTTTGACAAATTCATTCGTGCATGTTTTATTCAAATTGCACTTGAAACCATGCATCCCATATATATATCCTATACTAATAAACTATCAATAAGCTTTTTGCGATAATTCATCCATGAAATGGAACAATAAAGAAAGTGTGTATAAACAAGAGCATCTAGTAAATGTTATGCAAATGCATGGGTAAATTTACCCGTAGTCTTTTGAACAAAGTTTAGCGTTTATGATATTGTAGATTTTTGGTCGAGTATGACCACTAAAAGTTTGGATTAATTTAGCTGTTCAATAATCATCTTGTTCAAATTGATTAAGGAATGAGAAAAAACTTCGAATAAATTTTGATAAACATTTTTTACAATTCATGATCATGTTGTTAGTTTGATTCAATTATAAGGAATGTTGAATCATCCGCAAAAAAAAGTCATGCAGTTGAACAGGCATGTTCTGGGGTAGGTCGTTAATGTATAAAAGAATATATATAAAGGGCCAAAGGTTAGAATTGACATGAGAAATGTCTTGCATAACCCGTCATAAGGAGGAAATAACCGGGATACACTTGCATATCTTCAGAGATGCAACGGTGAAGGGGTGCAGTGCAGCCAAAGGTTAGAATTGACATGAGAAATGTCTTGCATTGGTGGCATGCATGACGATATGTAACTTTTAATTTACTTTGTTTGTTTGGAAAATACCATGTTTATTATTTGACAATTATTCGATGCCTTGCAATGATGACGATCCTGGTTAAAAAGGAGCGAAAGTTTTAAAAAATGAAAAACGTGGTGTTTTCCACATAAGATATTTTCCGATTCTTACCTCTGAACGCTTTTCTAGCATTATCAAAAGCTTTCTTTTTGGCCACAAATCCATTTACTTCATTAGAGGTAGACTTCAGAATCTTACGGTGGTTGTTGTGGATTTTGAAGAGTTTGAAAAAGTTTTCATTGTCGACTGTGAGATCATAGTTTTCTTCACAGGTCTTGAGTACGTTGCACACCAATGTCTTACTGGCTGCGTCCAAGGAGCTAAAGACAACCGTATCGATACCAAGTTCTTTGTCTATTTTTGGAATGAAATCCTTCTTCGCCCATTTAACCTCAGGTGCATCCATGTGAGTGACAATAACCGCTACCACGTCCATAGGAAGCTCCACAAAGCAATCAGCATACTTGCGAACGTTACTGACAACAGAGTCGATGCGAGCTTCAGCTTTGACAACAATAAAGATTTTTGAGACAGGCCTTCTGCTGACTGCGCCAGCTATCCAAACATTCTGCTCAAGCTTGTCTTCCAATGCATTGCTTCCAGGGGTATCAGCCACAAGAAGACTGCTGTCAGAGACCCAGAAAACCTCTGTTGATCTTGTGTAACTCATGGATGAACCAGAACTACTGCCAGTTTGTCCTGTCATTTTCTCCACTAGGGTTGACTTGCCAGTGCCAACATCACCCAAGAGAACAACATACGGTGCATTTTCAATGTCGCCCATCAGCATTTGATTTTCCTGAAAATGAAAGATATTTCACTGGAAAATTCGAGAACGTGCGGGACCAACAAACACGCACGTAATCAAACTGTCAGCAAGTAACGTCATCAAAACATATCACCAATAACAAGTTGTGATAAAAAACTTATGTGTTTTCTGCTAGATCTGAGCGCGATGCAGACAAGCCATTGTTTCAAGAAACCAATAAACGCTAAGTGATTCAGTCAATGTTATTTGTCTCACGGCCAAACATTCGCCAACCTTGCAAGCAAGGGTCTCCACACCCGCGGAAGGACAGAGACGCTGCAATCACTTTCAGAAGTTGTTGGGACACATGTAGTGGTTTATTACAGTTCTTTCACGCACTATATACCGCTCACCTCCCCCTCCTCCCACCCGAATCAATGTTGCTTAAGCCAAAACAGATCAAACTGACGCGAAATGGGACACAACATTGAACAGGGAGCGGGGGATTGACTTTTGTTGAAATTCAAAGGTTTTGTGGCATTTGTCCCAAAATATTTGAAACTGATTGTCTGAAGGGCAATGAAAGGCATATTTAACCTTTTTCAATAGCCGAGTGATTTAGAATATTAGATTTGTGAAAATCATATAGCATTTAATTTACTATAACATATTTCTTGAATTGCATTGGCATATGTAATGTCTTTACTGTGCTTGCTGTGGTCAACATCTTTGAAATGTAACATAATCCAACAGCATATTATAAATGAGCTTATAAAGGGATTTAATTATAATGTGGGGAGGGAAGCATGACATTAGCAAGATTTTGGGTCAATTGAGGCGGAATCTTCCTAAAACAGGCCAGCTCAATTTTAGTTATTAACACAAGTTGGAAATATGGAAAATAATGACAAAGTAAGGATCTCACCAAAACTGGGCCAGCCCAGGTACACAGATTGTTGGCTCACCCCATATAAATGGCCCCAGCCTAAATCTACCTGGCTGGATTATATAGATATTTTTCATTTAGGAATTCTGGATTTATATATATATATATATATATATATATATATATATATATATATATATATATATATATATATATATATATATATATATATTAGTCATTGTTAATGGCATTGGGTCATTCCAGACCAGAAAGCATCCAATTACTTCCCACACAGAGGAAATTGGAATTTAACCCCCTACCCCCTTCAGATCAGATCTATACTAATACACTTACTATTATCATTATCAGAAACAATTTTCTAACACAACCCCCCACCCCTAACCCACCCCTCCGGAAGGTGTGAATTTCCTCTTGGGGGAGTGTGGATCTTTTCTGGAAAGACCAATTCT